ACCGAACGTCACGACTCTTCTCACACACTGACCACTTGCACGAGCATCAGCATAGCTTTGTAGAAGGTAACAGACTAATCCACTCGGTGAATCTCAGTGCTCAGAATTGCGAATGTATCGACGAAGTTCGCGGCTTAATTACACCACAAGGTCGACCACTTTCGCGAACAAAGACTTGGAGTTGTAGTTCTCCTGGTCTCGTCACGGGTGGACTCTTATTACGCTGAAGGTTCACAAGCGATTCGGGTAGCTGATAAGGCCAAACCAATGTCTCCTAGAAGCAGGCAGTGATTTAGATTGGGCAATGACAGATAAATTGTCTGCTTTGCCGATCTCGAAGGATTGTTTAGCTCCTCGGTCGACGGGGAGACGAAGATGCCTCAACGAGACGAGCACTGCTGCTGCTTCGTTCTCGGATGCGCTCCCCTCGATTTGTGAGTTCCTCGAGAGGACGGGCGGGCGGCGCTCGCCGGTAGGCGGGGTTATCCGCGGTATACGCGCTCTCGCTATGATAGCGGACCAGATTGAAAGAAGAGAATAACAGTATTGGCGAGGAGAGAAGGCTGGGAAAAGGTCGACGAGAAGGAGAGAGATGTGTATACGCGAAGAGTGATTGAGGCGAGCTTTTGCGGTTGCTTTCAACAACACTCTGCTTGCGTGTGCTTTCGTTGCTTACGAGACGCTGGGAACGTGAATGAAGACGTCGAGTAATTACTCACTGATATTGAAGAAAATACCTAAAACGAAACCAGAGATGGGCATTCAAATATACGCGCATTGCGGAGACGCTAGCTGTTGCCTACCGCTAACTTAAACCGATTTTAATTAAGCTTATTGCACTTGTAAAAACTCAAGTTATAGTAAAGCAATGAAAGGCGCTAGTTGGTGCATGTTCGAGTTGAAATACACTTAGTTAAACACTTAGTAATTGGCTAAAGAATAACAAAAAAAAAGAACAACAAGTGGCCGTACGTTTGCACACACCCTGTTCAAAATTTCTCATCTCTACAAGGTTCCACCTTCCCCTGGACTTCTGCCGTGTTATACGGTAAGTGTTTTTCAACATGAGTTCTATTTATACGCCAGTAGCATTTCTCATTATTTTTTTTTTTGCGGGGGATGTTTAATTCAATGCGAAGTACCGTATTGGTAGTGAGGATCCGGAATCATTATTCTGGGCTTGGCTAAGAAATATTTGCAGGTTTCCAGGGCTGAAATCGGAGAGAAATAGACACTTGCGAAATGGGGCCAAGAGCTGTCATATAATAATGTAACATGCAGTAAACTTTGATGAAAGCAAGTAGTTCGGGCGAATTCTGGCCCCAGAAGCGAACGAAGCGAACGCCTCTGGGGCAATTCCCGAAGCAGTCTCCTTCTCACAAGTTCCACACCTTCTCTTCTCTTTTGTGTTGCGCCTCGGACGGGTCACACACAGCCTCTATCGCGTGGTTCATGCAGGCACGCGCTACCTGCCACACACTTTATTTCGCAAGTATATCAAGAACAATCGAGAGAGCGTAGGACTCGGCCAGCGTACTTGGTACGAAGGCAGAATGAATCAATGCTATACAACCAGAAAAAGTATGGACGACGTGTTAATCAATTTTGACAGGATACTTGACTAGGAAGCTATTATGTACTTTAATTGAGAAGTGAGAGGCCTCTGGACATATAGGACTAGCACTGGCTGACTGTTGGCTAATTTTGTCTAGTGTAATTTTGACTTATGATTGACCAAGGTTAATTGTTTTCATATATGTTCGCTGCCGTAAACTAGCGCCGCCAGTGCGTGGCACGGGCACAGTTCTTAGAACACACGACCTTTCTCTCCTAATTCTTTCTAACGGAAAGCGGCCGCAATTGTTTTTCGAGTGCCATCCTTATCGCAACGAAAATTGTGGAATGTTCTACCAAACATGTATACAAAGCCGGAAAAAAAAAACACAATGAATTCAGCTTCGCGATAAACACAGCTTTGCCACTTGTGCTGGCGGCCGCAATCACAACGTCCAAAGGCAGATGATAAATAATACATCGTGCCCCACTCTGATTACTGAATTAAGCACAGGCTTACCAGTTCACCGTGTTTCCGACAGCTTATGCAAGGACACAATGGTTCCGTGCTTCAATTCTGCGACAAGCGCATTAATGCCTCAACAGCGGCATCAACAAGCGAAAATTCACCCGTGATGACCGTCAGACAGCGAAGCCATAAGCCGGGCGAATGTACGTGATTGCGCTGCCCTAAATCCGCCACAAGGTTCGACATATATGAATCTCTACCCATGAGTGTATGTATAGACCAGTGGTCGTGGCGCTAGTCCTCGGAGTGCAAGGGTCCGGGTTCATTCCATACGTCACCAAGAAAACGTATTCGATTTAGCTGCACCGGCGGCACCAGTTCAACGGGTGCAGCACCCCTGTCCTCGATTTACTGAGGCCGCGCACGTCCTCTACACTGGCTTCCTCGTTTTGTCGCTACACAAGCGTAGTGCTGCGCGAGTTCTCTGCCGGCCTGCACTTGCTCAAAAGGGTGGTGGTAGTGGTTAGAATGAAGAGGATAAAGGCACCTAATTTCTGTCTGCCTTCAGGCGACACGGCGCAGTGCCTTATAGGGGTGGGGGGAAGGAGGGATAAAAAGAATAGAAGGAAAATAGACGGAGAAGAAGACAGGCAAGCGACGGAAAAAGAAGGAGATCGGAAAGTGGGGATCCGGTCGAAGCAGTCCAAGGGCGGGGCGCCGCAATGCGAGAGCTGCACGGCGTCAGGAGACCGCGGAGGGCGAACCAGTCGGCGGGAGCTACGCTGATGTCGGAGATCGCGAGGGCACAACCGTCCAGCTTGAAATCCTGCGAGCGACTCAAAAGGAGGTGCAGAGAGGTGCTGCATGACGTGCAACCCTTCCTCCTCCCAAGCTTGGAGCAGACGACGCTGCAACGGCTGCTCATGGCGTCCGTGCAAACGGTTTAGTCAAGCTCATTCCACCGACGGGTAATCTTCGCCACGTCTTATCGGCAGCTATTAAGACGGATTCTTTTACATGTGTGTCGCATGAAAAAGAAAAATCCATCGTTGTTGTGCAGTAATTAAGAATCGCAGGAAAAAAAAACGTTAATGTAATAAAGATGCTGCTCGAGACGCAAGTTCACTTCGTCGTTATGAAAGCGTGAAACCGATGCGGCAGGAAGCCTTCAAAAAGACTGTTTTAAAACATGCATTTAAGGAAGCTTGCTCACGTGTCTTATATTGATATAGTGCGAAGAAAAGTGGCTCTGTTGGTCAAGGAACCCCAGGGATTTTTTTTTTTTTTTTGCTCTATGGCTTCACACGCCTTTGAATAGAAGGCCGACAATAGGGAATCGAATACTAAACCGCTAAATCGTCGTTCTAGAGAGTATGAACAGTCACTTGAAATCATACTGATGGAAGCGTCCGACAGCGTTCTTGCACCTGAGAACATGACTGACATTTTCACGTACAACGAGCAAAGGACCAACACAAACCCCGTTAACACCCCCTCTGTTACTGTACAGATCACCGATGTCGGAATCATGGACGCTGTCAAGCAGTTTTCTTTATACAGGATGAATACAGGCATCGCAGTAGTGTTGGCGTGTATAGATGGCGTTGTAAAACACGCCATCTATACACGCCGCGTTGTCTATTCGAGGAACTCTACTTGCACTTGCATCTTCGTTTTTGCAGTAGCCGCCGCGCTGTGGTGTCGCGGCTGCACCTGCACTTGATGAACCGGTGCTGCGCGCCCACAGCACCGCTGGCCCCGTTGTGACACTTTTCAGAACTAGTGCAGGCAGTACAAGCCAAATCGAATAAACAGACCAGTAGAATACTTCTTTAGTGTTTCTTTATTCACTTCTCCCCTCTGGTCACGAGATCTATGTGACGCCTACTACTACTACTACTGTGACTATTACTACTACTAATACTACTACTACTACTACCACTACTACTACCACCACCACCACCACCATTACGAAGACGGCGGCAGCACATGTATATAGATTAAAACGGCTTTGCTGAAAACAAAATAGGGCCAATTTTGCACTTCGCCGAGCTAGGCTTGAAACGACAAAATTGGACAATTCTCAAGACTATTATGGTTGCTTCTAGGTAGTGTATAGGCCTTAGCTAGCTAAGTGATGCAGGTTGATTCAAGGTAGCTTCAAGGTCATAGCTAAACTTTCGCTGGGTGATGCTAGGTTTTTCTCTACGCCGACTCTCAGCACACGGAGGTTCGAGTTGAACCACAGACAGTCACACACACGACAAATATCTCCAAAGCCTACAGAAAGAAACTGGCGCTAAAACCAAGCGTTCGCACTTCCCTTATATCTACGGGCACATCGTCCCCGGCGCAGGTCTTCCATCGCTTCGGGGTCCTCTCGCAGGAGCTGTTGTCTTTACCATTCGTAGTATTCTGATTGATATGTGGGGTTTAACGTCCCAAAAACTACCACATGATTATGAGAGACGCCGTAGTGGAGGGCTCCGGAAATTTTGACCCCCTGGCGTTCTGTAAGGTGCACCCAAATCTGAGCACACGGGCCTACATTATGTTCGCCTCTATCGAAAATACAGCCGCCGCAGTCGGGATTCGATCCCGTGACCTGCGCGTCAGCGGCCGAGTACCTTAGCCACTATAGACTACCACGGCGGGGCTTTCGTAGTACTCTGTCGTTGTACGTACTGGTGATCCTCGCAGCATTTTGTTGGGCTGTTGCCTTCTCCATTTTTAATGGACCTGTGGCGAATAGTGGGAAATGTAAAATTTCGTCGCACATACCTCTTTATATTCGCAGTTTTCTGCTACATTTCTGGCGTACCAGTGGTGAACCGTGGGTTTTACCCAACTTCAGTGTCCCATACGCGTCTGTGGTGACGATAGATTTCGTGTAGACCGCAAGAACACGCCCGTAGGCCGCAAAAATCACGGCTGGCTTAAGCAGCCGCACTGTTTAGTACAAAATAAAACGCAAAACTGTGATGGCAATGAAACGATTTGCTTTTAATGCCCTCTTTTTTTTTTTCACTCTCAGACATAGCATACTCACTCTCCTCGGAACAGTCAGTACGCGACAGAGTGTTTGCAGAGTGAAATAGAAAGCGATAGCGAGAGAAGAGGAGATCGAGAGGTTAGACAAACATTCAGCATCAGGCGTCAATCACACACAGAAAAAAAACACACGCGAATCTCGCCGCATCTGCAGCGGAGAAGCATATACACGCGTACACATCAAGCGAACATGAAATGAGCGGTCGTGGAAGCGATGTCCAATAACCGCAGCACGGGAGTGCTATTCCATGGTGTGCTATAACACGAAGGAGTTGGAAAAAAAGTGTATTGCTGTCGGCACACCCATTCTGTGTAACGACACCTGTATGTGCTCGAAGACTCACACTGCGTAGAGATCGTTAGTTCGCTATCTATTTGCTCCTTCCTTTTTCTCACTTCAAATTCTTTTACATTGTTTTCACGCATCACAACACGTTCATCGGCGACCCGAGGCTCACAATTTCCGGTACTCTAGACCATGACACCCTCCCACAAAATAGAAAGTCATGACAACAAGAAAGAACGCTCTAAATTCTGTCCATTTGGAAGCAAGTGAAGCGTTCCTACACTTTACTTCAAGACAGACCTGTGGCCATATGTACAAGAAATATTAGACCAGAGCGATCGGGACACATCGGTACGCTAGCATGTATTCCAAATTTAACACTAAGCTTTGTTCACTTGAAGGTGCGGCAACCTATGCAACTATGAATGTGTAAAACAGTTCATAGAAAGGGTCTCGTGTGAATGTGTTTCACGTAAAAATAATGGAAAGTACAAGAAAGAAAAAATAATACAAATTGCGGACATCATATCCGTGCTAATTGTGCTCGTGATTCTTACGTGTAATTTCACAACCACAGCGCGAAACATCCCACAACCAATCGTTTGAATGACTTAGCAATGAGTTCAACGAAGAGGTAGTCTAGACAAATTGTGACCTCCCTACCGAAGCATCCTTAGCCTGCTGTCATCCCAGCGAACACAAGCATACAGTAGCACACATTGGGTGAAATAAAAAGAACACAAATCGCTGCACGAGATGGGCACCTAGGTGTGGCTTTGCAAAATGTGTTCGAAGTGGTGTTGCTTTCAAGGAAAGGTAGTGGTCGCTATATTAAGTGCCTGGTCACTTCTTCCGATCTCCAGTGTGATTGGTAGGTTTCATTTTCCTTGAAAGTCATCTTCAAAGCTGAAGCATTGTACTATACCTCACATCGCCATGAGTTAAATGGTCGTACTATACGGTCAACCTGTTAACTCACGGTCGTTGTACTCCATGTAAATGCACTGGCCTTGCGCGAGCACATTGATTACATCCAATAAGGCATCCGCACTCAATGATAACCCACGCTCTGTTTACTACCTCGTAATTGTAGGTCAAAACTAAACTTTCCATTCCTTCAGTTGGCTCTTCTTTGTAATATGCATCACCACAGGTTCGATTCTTGCGTGCAAAACCGTGTTAGACCACAGGAGCAAATAAATCTTTGACAGTTTCTGAAAGCCATTCTGTCCAGTCTTCTGAGAAGATTGTTTAAGATCACTTACACTGAAAAAAAAAAAAAAAAAACTTGGGGCAAGTTACAACCTAACGCCTTTTGGAAACGTGTACAAGTTACAAGTACGTGATTTACACCTTTCCTCAATGATCTCATTATTACAACTCGAAGTACCCAATTAAACCATGATGTGCCAACACCAAAACTCTGGAGCCCTAAGCACTATCACTAACCTGCCGTTTTGTGTGTGTGTGTGAGAGAAGGAGACACCGCAAAACCAATCTACATATTGCATTATCTCCAGAAGGTCACTTAAGAACAATATGTTTGTTTCGATAAAATAAAAAAAATGTAGGGAGACACATCCCTGCCGAGTAAGGAGCACTTCAACAGAATTTTTTGAGATGGCACCGCTGTGAGGAGTCTGCAGACAACATATTAATAGAAGTTGATAGTTGCCTTGCAGTTCTACGACGTTACACTGTGACCAGACTTCTTTTACAGTTCTACCATGTGGTACATCGCAATATGTGCATCACTAAGAGTGAAAAAATAAAAGAGCAAGCGAATTCGAGATGAATGTGTCCATGCCGTTTAGACGACGTTTCTGAGGCGACCACCCTTCATGTAGACAGGCTTAGTGAAGCACCAATGCGTGACAACTATAAGATTTAGACTAACAATAATCACGAGCATACATCTGTAATAACAAGTGATACAAAACACTAGGAAGCGGCGATAGGAATACAAAACGTTCCAATAAAAATGCTCAACTGGTCGTGAAGGTATGTTAAGAAAGGGGTAGACTTTTAATGGATCCAAGTGAAGTTTGTGCGTGTTTCCTACCGTTGCATTTGATTTCTCCGAGTTCATTTCTTTTGCTCTGCCACGGCAACATGCGCTTTTATGATGCATTAAAAATGCCTAGTTGTGCGTGCTTCACTATTACAATGTGCACCATCGCTTCTTCGATATGATAAAATTTCATACTGCTGAAAAGTGTCTATTAACCTACACCTTCCGGAATGCACATTGCAGTGACATCAATGGATATAACGATGACATCATGTAAAATAACATTCTGCTTGACTTAAGTGACGTTCCACTTTCGCTGAAGAGATTGACTCCATTAAGTTTTTTTTCTTCGCCAGCGTGAAACTCATCAACATAGACAAGAACGGTGAAGGTTAACCGCAGTGCCGTGAGGTGTCACCCGCATGGCTCCCACCACGGGTAGTTTAGGTTGGTGCGAGTCCGCCAGGTTGAAACCCTCTATTAACCGTCGCAGTGAGTTCCGGGGTGCTACGGTTTCGGCTGCTGTGCAGCACTGACCTTGAATTGCGGTCCACGAAGTTACGTCACCAAGACCCACACACTTGCCTCTTAAAGACGGTGACGTCATTAAACTATGCCTGACGACACGCAAATCAGCTCCGTGCTAACAGTGACCAAAGCTCTCCTTTCGCTTAACACAACGTTGCTTTGCTTTGACCAGTGTATACACGTACATCGAAGCAGAGCCCTGTAGAAGACACTTCTCGTTTAATGTATACACACTGAGTACTACTCAGCCAGCTTATACGATCACTCGCAGCATTCACACGCAAACGAATGGCGTCATCTCAGCATATCATTATATAGTGGCAGCCTTTTGTCGCTCTCACCCAAACCCACGGTGGGGTCATCCTCGTCCAAGTTTACAGACGCGTTTACAAAGAAGACAGCGATAAAGCACGTCTGTTAGTTTGTTTCCTTGCCTAAATGCGTTGGCAGTGTTGCGACACCTCTGCGCGTCTTGAGCACGCAAGAAACCATGAGAAAGCATCTTGTAACAAAGGTATGTTCGTTGACAACCTCTGCAGCGAGCTGTATAGCCTTTCAGTCACCCTGTCCCAGAAACCATGTCAATCAACATTTCAAATTCCTGAGTCGCTTTTACTTTCCTTGTTTATTAAGCAGTACCTGTGCTCATATCCGACTCACAGAAACGTATCCAGACATATTCTCTGTCTGACAGCTAAGCGAACAGGGTGTTTTTTTTTTTCTCGTGCAAATTAAATATAAGGCCATCAGGTACGCAAGAAGACATTCAAGAAAGCATCGTAAGAAACACAGGAATATTTACTTCAAATGAATAACGTTTGAAAAGCAGCACACGTAATGTCTCGGTATATATACATTTACGGGCTGAATGATGACAAACACGATACAGCTATTAAGGCCGACTCCAAGCCCATTCACCAGAGAGTAGGCACAGTCACCAATGAAGAGGCGCACTCACCAATGGTGATATGCAGCCACCAAAAGGGCTGCAGTCACCAATGGGGACCCAGAATCATCAACAGGGACACGCAGGGCTTCCACAAGCTTCCTTACTCTTTTGTCCTCACTGCATTCTCGTGAATCGAATAGTTTTAGAAGTGCTGAAGATCGCTTTCGGCGTAACCCTTAACACACTATAACGTTTAGAGAGACGAGTCATGGAGCACGCTTGGAACCCAAGCGTCCGCGCTGATTCCTTCTCGTTCACTGGCCCGTCCGTATGGTTCAGCAGTCCACGGGGATATTATTATAAGGTGTATTTACACACATATTTATAGTATATATCTCGCGAAGGCAAACGCATAAACATAAACACGCACACACATGCGCACACATCAACATGTACATATAAGCATTATGTATACATATACATAATTATATATATATATTTATATACCTAAGTAATTATAGAGTACACACCACAGCAACGAGGAGAGAGGCTGAGTTTCATTTCATTTCCCATTTTGAGGTTACACAGTCTTATAGTTGCGGATTTTACAGACACTGGGGGGACAGAGGTGTAAATAATGATGGCAGTACGTGCGTAACAGTGTGTAAAAGACAACAAACAATAGAGAACGAACAATGTAACAACAGTGTTGTCTTTTTTTTCTCCATCATCTCAAGACGTGCTTATCTATATTACCGGATCACACCACACATCTTGGCAAGAGAGGGCTGCAAGCCAACGTGGTACTAAAAAAAAAACTGTAAACACCAAGAACTGTGAATCCGACTGTCTGAAGCATGTGCACGACACTAAGAAATTTTTTTAATAAATAAAAACATAAGTTAAATAGTGGGGGAACAGTAATCTCTGACCAATGTGTTCCACGTGTGACTGCCCTGCACGAGCCCGATAAGGGAGTGAAAGGAGCGCAAGAAGCGAGGGAATGATTTGAATGGTCTGAGAGATAAGAAAGTTAGAGGCACTGCAGATTAGCGGAACAAAAAAGGGCCGCTCCGTATGGTTTAGTCCCCCTCCAAGAGAAAGAACCCCGTCTCTGTATCATACCAGAACCACGCTTGAGGAACTCATTCCGGCCGCCTATATCTTGGACGCATGGAAAGCTGCAAGGTGTATGCATAACTGGGCATATACTTCCTGCTCGACACGATTTCTGTGACAGACAGGCAGGTTTCATTTTTTGTTCCGGTAGTCCCGCAGCCAGTCCTTCGTAACGGCTGCAAAAGTTCATAGACTGTGATTAGAACATGCGTAAATTCTCACTTGTCGTCATAAAAGCTGGTAACGCGTGTGATCCCGGACGCAAGAGATTATAAGAAGACAATGAATCTGATCTTGCACGCCTTACAATGTAGCCTTACCAACTGACTCCAACTTCTGTCGTGCTGAATCTCAGTCATCCTTGTGTATGCACGCAGAGACGCGTTATTGCGAAACCTGCCGACAAGCTCGCAGCAACAACAACGTCAGTTTAATTACGACATCACCACAGGAGCTCCTCCAGTTGCCGAACCGATGTTGTTGCCAACTCAGTCTTAAACCAAGTGTCTATGGTGACAGTGATCATGGTCGCGTCAGCTATACACGTGGTCACAGCTTTCCGGGAGTCAGGTTTAACTTGCGCGTCTATAGAGTGTCTATAGAATGTCTGAAGACCACGTGGTGCGTGGGCAGGGACGTAGGCGCCGTCGAGGATTTTGCATAGCTAGCTGCACCATGCTGCCTGAAGAGGCTACGGGTCGTCGGACCTGCCAAAGGAGGTCTTCTACTATGAAAGCCGTTCCCTTTCTCTGGAGCTGTCTATCTTGTCCGGCTGATACGGGAAACTTCGAGATCTGATTGCGTTCTGTTAAAAATCTGCACTCTGTAATATCTGCACTCTGGGCGGTAAACAAGTCACTGTCAGCACTGCATATAGAGGGCGCGGCAAGGTCCATCAAGTTAATAAGCACCGAGTACTTCAGAGAGACCAAACTTAAATTGCTTAGCTCTCCAGTATTATCTTTCGCCCCACTTTCTGATCCGGATTCCGCCTGATACCTTCGTTGGGATGAACGCTTAATGACGAAAGGGGTTATGATAATAAGTAGTGTCATTGCCTGAATGCGGCGAAGCAAATTTCCTGGTGTGTAAAACTAATTGATTCTACTGATGAACACGTCTAATATTGTTATTCAACAACCGTGTTGATGACGACGAAGTATTGCCCGCGTTCCTCCTATTTTCGCTAGGTAAACTAAGGACTGCACCTGATAGGCTGCCACCTCAGTGATGCCACTTAGAGTATTAGCCAGGTAATTAGTGGGAAATATTCCCTGAAGTCAGTCTTTCGTGGTTCTCCAGGGCCTAACCGAGCTGAATGCTCCGGGAAAAATGATTTGAATATCGGAAGATTAAAGAAATCAGCAGTGCCATCCTTTTCCCCTAACGCGTGCTCCTCATGAATGACAGCGATTATGGTGCTAACAGATAAAAGTGTAACTCAAGACACCCCTTCTGGTTCTGTTCGATCAACCGAGCACACAGAGATGCATTTTTATTAGACTAGAGAATAGCCGTAGCATGCACTGTGCTTATTAAGCCACACACAACCTGTCAGTTAAGTGCTCTACACGCTTAAGCTCATTCGTGTTCTTATGCCAAGAATACTATGTGTTTACAGCTACGTGTGATAACAGTACAACCTTGTCTCGATTCTAGTGATATGTGCCCTAGTTTAATCTTCCTTCTGCACTGAAAACCTTCAGAGTCACTAGTGGTACGCCAGCTCTTATGATTGTGACTCAGCCGGAAATAATGAATTAAATGGGTGTCCTTGCTGATCGATAGGACGTGACGCGTTTTCTTCCCTTGTTTCTGGCAAAACGTGAATAAAATGCAGAAAGGTGCAAGTGTTAGCTACTGTAGGTGTTTTTTGTCGTGGCGAAGCAATCGTGCGGAGGCGGCAAACATTTAAGAACATAGAGGAGCGACGTGCCGAATCTGTGAGACGCACGGGACAGAGCGACTCCTGCCCTAACCTTTCGTGCAGCATTTGCACCGTTGCTTCGTCGCATGCATTAATGAACACCCACAGTAAATCCAAGTTGCCTTTCTGAACACTTTCGACTCTCTCTTTTTCTTCTCTTTAGTTCCGCAGGACATGTTTACATCTCAATCTAGTCTAAAGCACCCGAATGTGTCAATGCCATTCCGATCCGCTGCCCCAAAGGGCTTCCATTTCCAATGTCCATTCATCACTGACCGGTGACCTCATCATCCTACCCTAGTTTCAAAATCGAATATTTCTCAACAACTTACACTTTATGTACGATCGGCCACCGCACGATGTAAAAGGCGAAAACCAAATCATAACCGAGTCGTTGCAAGTCGCAAGCAGCCCTTTGCGGGTGAATCCCGAACGTAGCGAACTCAAATGCACCGTGAAATGAAGTTGCTTTCCGGTTAATGCGGTCAGTTATTAGCTGACCGCTTTAACACGGCTGTCTGCCTGCCCTAACCCTTGGGAATTTTTCTGGTTAAGAAGGACACATGGTGCCCTCAACTTTTTCGACGAGACAAAACTGAAAGAAGGATTGCTTTCTCGCGTATAAACACACAGCACAAGCAAAAAAAGTGGGGGGAAATGACACACCGAAGGCTCGTTTCGAAAATACGCACAACATACAGCAATGTGTATATGAAGAATGCGTCTCAATAAACAGGCGCAGAGGAAAGCACACGTCATCGTAAAAACACACAATATGTACAGACAATAAAAGCGCCAACTTTTTTCCTCGTATACAAGAAACGGACAGTTCGTCAGCTTGCGTTAAACTAGAGAAAGGCGTATGAGCAAGACATCAAGCAGAAAATGAAGTACTGAAGCGTATTTTACATACAACTCTCCATTGGACACGAAGAAAAATGGGAGCGGACTTACAGTAACCTGAGAAGTGAAAATAAGAATCGTAGACATTTTGATTCCCAGTAAAAAAACAGCGCAGTGGATTTATGAGGCAGAATGAAATCGCGAATGGGCATTTCTTTCACTGGTAAAAAAAATGAACATTCGGAAAGTGTCTCTTCATAAAAACAAGTTTTAAAAGTAAAAAGGATAATAACTAAAAATGCTTGGTTATCACGGCGTGAGCGAGTTCACAATCGTCACGATTTTCAGTCCTCTTTTTGGCACGGTGACAAAAATGAACGAGCGTTTTAGCAAAATAAAATCAATAGTACGTTCATACAGTGCTACAGCACAAAACAAACAATAGGTAAATATGGCACCGAAAAAAATCAAACATGAGTGATAAAACAAAATAGAGGCTGTTGTCTCGTGGAATAGGCGAAAGCATTATATGGAGGATTGTGGCAGCTAGCAGTATAGTTGTTTGGTTCTCGTTGACTCCAGCCTTATTCGCCGTCAGGAATAAAAGGCAGCCGCTTTGGCGCGATGTCCGGAAGAATCACGTCGGGTTGTTTGCCATGTCAATCTGCAAAAGTGGAGGATACAGCCTTAGCTAAAAGAGACGCTGTGGCTCCACTTTTACAAGTATGCTTGTTTCATTGGTGCAGTTCCTCTTGCATCAGACAAATGCCTTGTATCAAATTTCAGACAAATACCTTGTATCAAAGTGCTCTGATCAGACAAGGACACCCAACTTGCGCCTGCAGCGGTGTTTCTTTCGTTCCTTTTGTGCCTTGTCGCCGTGCAATGGCTCAAAACTAAACATGAACTCTCTTATATCAATGTACAGTAAACAAACAACTTCAGTACGGACACGTCTTATTATTTTCATGTTTTACTAATTCCTATGACGCAGGCATCAAACGTTTTTAGGGGCGAAGCTTCTTTCGGCGTCAACCGTTCGTATCGCATCATCGTTTGTAACCACCCGTCTCCCGTCATTGTTTGCACATACCCGAGAGAGAGAACGGTCCTTAGAATTTCCGCTGGATGGCGGTACTTATATATGATGAATACATGATGAAAAGAATCTTGAGAGGGCAGTGCTTGTACCATACACTTAAAATTGATTTTGATTGATATGTGGGGTTTAACGTCCCAAAACGGCCGTATGATTATGACAGACGCCGTAGTGGTGGACTCCGGAAATTTCGGCGACCTGTGGTTCTTTAAGGTGCACCGAAATCTGAGCACACCAGCCTACAACATTTCCGCCTCCATTGGGAATGAAGCCGCCGCAGCCGGGATTCCATCCCTTGACTTGCGGGTCAGCAGCCGAGTACCTTAGGCACTACACCACCGCCGCAGGGCCATACGCTGAAAATTGCAAATGGTACGACACTAGAGGGAATTACTTGTAGAAAAGAAGGAAAAGGCAAATTATAAGACACTAGGGGGCATCACTTGTAGAAAAGAAGGGGTGAAGCAATGGGGTAAACCGAGATATGATGTTGAAAGAAAATGGGAAATCTTTCTAAGCTCTAGAAGGGAAGCATCCCTCCTGATCAATGAAAAGATTAAAAGAAAGGGTGCTCAGTGGCTGGCAGAAGTACATAAAAAGGACAGAAAGGCAGCTGCGAAATTTTGGAACCATCTAAACTCCTTAAGAAATGAAACAAATCTAGAGCAGAGGTTTATAACTACAGCTCTAGGTGCTAGGCTAGAAGGTTACGAAGCTATTGAATATATAAGAACAAGGGTGACAGAAAAATTTAAACAAAGAAGTGCATTATGCACAACAATAGACAGGGATGAATCAAGTGGCACATTGGCTCCATTTTCACAACGAGAGTGGGAAAGGGCTGAGAAGAGGGTTCCAAGTAGTACATCAACAGGCCCAGATGGCATTCCAATTATGCTGATAAAGACATTGGGTCCGAAGTCGAAACAGACTTTGAGAGAGGCAGTGAGCAGAACTATAATCGATGGTGAAGTTCCTGATGGATGGAAAATTAGCAGGATGAGCATGCTTTAGAAAGGAAAGGGGGACAAAGATGACATAAACAACTACCGTCCTATAACAGTGACATCAGTGGTCTACAGGCTGGTGATGCAGATTATAAAGGAAAGACTGCAGGCATGGATAGAGGATGAGGGGGTGCTGGGGGAACTGCAGAATGGGTTTCGGAAACACAGGAGGTTGGAAGACAATCTGTTCTCACTGACACAATGCATCGAAATAGCAGGAAGGAACTCGGGCCCCTGTGGCTAGCATTTTTGAATATCAAGAGAGCATACGCTAGCGTAGTTCAAGAGGACTTGTGGGGAATACTAGACACACTGGTTGTGGAAGATGGAGTCACTAATCTTATAAAGGAAATCTATAAGAGTAACAAGGTAGTTATAAAGTGGGAAAAACAGGTATCCAAGCCCACAGAGGTGAAACGGGACTTAGGCAGGGCTGTCCACTGTCACCCTTGTTATTCATGATGTACCTACAAGGATTAGAGGCCAAATTAGAGGGAAGTGGACTTGGATTCAACCTCTCTTTAGTCAAACAAGGAAAACTCATTGATCAGGCACTACCAGCATTAATGTACACAGATGATATAGTGCTAATGGCCGACAACAAGGAAGATTTGTAGATTGATGGACATCTGCGGTAATGAGGGAGATAGGTAAGATTTTAGATTCAGTAAGGATAAATCAGCAGTCATGATTTTTAATGATAATGAAGGTAGTGAGCTTAGAATACAGAATGTCACGCTAGAGATAACAGATAAATACAAATATCTGGGCGTATGAATAAGCAATGGGACCGAGTACCTAAGGGAACACAAAATATACGTGATGACTAAAGGTAACAGGAATGCAGCAGTGATGAAAAATAGGGCACTGTGGAATTACATTAGGTATGATGCTATGAGAGGAATATGGAAAGGGGTCATGGTTCCTGGGCTGACGTTCGGCAATGCGGTCTTGAGCAGTAGATCAGAAGTTCAAGCAAGATTAGAAATTAAGCAAAGTGGAATAGGTAGGCTTGCTTTAGGAGCTCACGGGAATACACCAAATCGGGGAGTGCAAGGTGATATGGGATGGACACCATTTGAGGGCAGGCAAGCTAGCAGCAGGATGAAATTTGAGAAGCGATTGAGAGAAATGGGGGAGGAGCGTTGGGCTAGGAAGGTTTTCAGCTACTTGTACATGAAGAATGTCGATACAAAATGGAGGAAGCGAACCAGAATTGACTGGTAAATACTTAGAAAACAGCAGGTGGCCAATCCAAAAAGAACTATCGGTTAAGAAGAAAGTGAAGGAAACGGAGACTGACATGTGGAGAATTGGCATGATTAAGGAGTGCGCACTAGAGATCTATCTAACTTTTAAGCAGGAAATTGCCAAGGAAAGGATCTATGATAATACTCGGGGTAGTTCTCTACTGTTTGAGGCCAGAACGGGAGTATTGCGAACCAAGACATATCGGGCCAAATACAAAGGGGTAGACACAGTATGCAGTGCGTGTGGAGAGGAAGAAGAAACTGCCGAACACTTGATATTGTTCTGTAAAGGGCTTCATGCTATAGTTCAGGATGATGGGGCAGAGTTTCTAAAAGCACTGGGGTTTAGGGACAGGGAGGGCAAAATAGACTTTAAGCGGGCAGAATTAACTAGAAGGAGGTTATCTGATTGGTGGCTAAAGTCAAGGCACGAGTGAAAATTAAACTCTTCACTGCAAAGTACGAATCCTCAACCTCACTATTTAAAGAAAAAAAAAATAAATCTAATGGTTAGTTCACTAAGTATTATGGCTAGGTGGCGTTAGCCGCCACCCGATCTAAAGGATACAGCCACATTTATTTATCCATCCATCCTTCCAAGGATTTACGTCACACGTACGGAAAAATAGAAAGACGATCGGGCGACCACGGTCGCGTGTTCTACTGTGGCGCTGTACGCTAGGGGGCGCTCTATAGTACAAAGGGGCGCTCTATAGTACGGTAGGAAGTGCTCTATAGTGCGCAGGGTGGCGGTGGCTCGCACTCGAAGAAAAGACAGCGACATTAGGGCGCGCGAGGCAGAAGCACGCCCCGAAGCTGCGCGGCGCCACCGCGAGGACCCTGCAGTACGATGACGGGAGGCAGAAGTGGCAGCGGCGTGTGAACCCAGCTTCGCCCCACTCTCCATCATTGAGCCTATAGATATGCTGTCATTTTTTGTGTGTGTGTGTTTCTCTCATGCACATTTATGTGTAAATATAATTTCTTTCCACTCCTGCAATAGCCCTCGAAAAAGGTCTGAGAGTATGAATAAATGAAATGAAATGAAAGCGGCGCTCATGTTTTGGGAGCGAAGCACAAGATGAAGGAAAAGATGATGATGATGATAGTTTCTGTTCACTATGTACGGACTAAAGGTCGGTTTGACAGCTATACTGTTAAAATTATGGCATTCCTGCTTACAGTAGGCAGTCTGTAGCCTTGCAAAAGACAAGGCTTAGAAATACAGTTTACCATTCCCTTCGATTGACATCAATCAAGTTCTCTTTTTAGTGAACGGTAGCTGAGGGTGTTATCTTTTTAAGCAGCGCCGAGAAGACAACACGTTAGAAACGCGGGACTCGCACACACGTGAAGTGCAGCGTTCTGTATGTTTCTAACATGTTGTCTTCATAGTGCAGTTTAAACATGTATTCAAAATTCATTAAATATATAGCCTAACAATATTCTTTACAACAAATTTCATGCGAGGGTCGATTTGCTGAATGTGGAGAAGTGCGTCGTCGTTTTGCGTGCCAAAGTTGACGGAGCAATAAGCGTACCTGCTCATTCACCGTTTCGCTGTCTCCGGTGCCGTTGACCCGTTGGAGGGCGTCGTCTGCTTCAGCGATCATCTTTACGCGGCTCTCGTTCTGCAGAAAGCGAAAACCGACAGCTTGACCCGCGGACTTGACAAAGTATCAGAAAATGAACCGTTCATCTTGGATACAACGTCAAATTATCAGACAATTGTGAAATAAAGGAATCAAGCAAATAAGCGACTTGTAATTGACTTTTCCACACAAGTAGTTAGATGGCAATTATTGTTTAAACTGCTTGGATGTACTCAATGTGAAAATTTTGTACATCTCCTAAGTGCTACAATAATAAAGTGCAGCAGTATAGTTTGAGTACGCTTCATAATAGTTAGCAGCAATCAGCAGTATCCGGCAATCATCCACAAGTTCATTTTTAAATAAAGATGCCTGCTTAATAACGAATTTAGTGCTATAGTACATACGACAACTTAGTCTACCCTTTGGTGTGTACAATATCAAATGAAACTAGTGCAAGCTTTTTTTTAATTGCCTTCTCAAGAATAATGTTATTGCCCTAACAGTTCATGGCTTCCTTTCTCCTATTTCGTTACTTAGTAAACTAAAAGTGAACATATTTTTTCCCACGTAGCGTAAATAACTTATAGTATTCAGCATGAAGGTGTCCCGTGATTGCATTAGAAGTTTCCATGTTACCACTACATGTGTCAATGAATTCTACCCGAGACAATCGGTCACCTTCATTATAGCTTCCTCGCTATGTTTGCAGAATGTTACCTACGTAAAGCAACTCTGCAGGAACACCAACTATTTGATCCATGCACCGCCTTGTGACTAGCATATTTTGACGTGTGCGCTCTTCCACTCACAAAAATACATCCAAAATAAAACCGTGAGTATTGCGGAAGAAGTCACTGAGAGCGAGTAGGCCGAATTCTACACCTGCGAACTTTCTTTGGCAATGAAGTGAAAACTACACCGCCAAATTGCACCCATCTTGCTGTCAATTGCTGCAGTTTCATAGCAACGTCTTTATCATATATGTGAAATAAAAAAAAAACACTCTATTATTTTGTACATAACCTCTCTAGGGCAGAACTCAGCACACACCGGACATATAATTGTATTAATGCTGCTTTATGCACCTCTGGATCAAGTCCTGCAGGCAGTGAGGGTCAGTGGAGCCCTGGGCATAGGGCCCCAACCATAGAAGCTCTAAAATCGCCCTATCCACACTAAACAAAGTTTCACTCTCTCGATTTATATGTTTTCACTGTGTTCTCGCGGGAACGTGAAATTCGGGATTTTTTTTTTTCAAGCACCTCAAACGCTAAGTGGTGTTTGCGTCAGTATGAAATGCTGGTTATGTAACCATTCTTTTCCACAGTGCTGAGACATGCGCGGAAGCTAACTACTTCGCGCAGGAGTACTACATGCGAAGAAGCCCACCCACGTAGCGTTCCCTTTATTGCCAAGCGAAGTTGTCTGCCAGTATGCCTCATTTCGCACACACGAGCAAAAACAAACAAGAAATTGCACATCATGCTCCCTCTTAAAGCAAAGTTCCAGGTGCAGGTGTTTTAATGTACAGCCCCCTTTAAGCAATATTGTTTTAATCATCATCACCCAGTTTGATGTAGAGCCTTGTCATGCACAGCTGAGCACACCAGGCTTTAATGGGATACATTCTAATTATTACAGCAAAACGAAAGATTCGTGTTTCATGCACGTGATGTCTGCAACACATGTACGATGTACGACATAAGCAATGTGTGACATGTAAGACACGTGTCTGGCTTGTGGAGCGATGTGGAACACGCGTACCACATGTGTTATGCATTAGTGCTACGGTGGACGTATTGTTACGTCGGTGTACTGCACCTCTATTTTGATCCTCTGGACGAGCCGCTCCTTTTCAGCCCTCAAGCTCTCCGCCTGACGCCTGGTGTTCTCGTCCTGGGCAGGCTGCTCTTCCAGTATTGCCAGATGCGCATCCTTTTCGCTGATGGCTGCCGACAGCGCCTCCAACCTACAAATCACATTATGCCGGATTAGTACCAACCACATGCACGGTTAGAAGTTATCTCCACTGCCATGGACCATGCCGTTTTCAAAACTAGCAAGATTCCTTACGGATTCGTCTAAGAGCACTCTAAAGTAAAATTATGAGGAAACACAAAAGGTAAGATTAACGTAACAACAGTTGAAGTAATGTGTTTTCACGGTTATAACGTGTGTTTTCATTACATGGTTATAGCATTGGTAGTAGTATTACGCTTTTCCGATACACTTGGAATGGACATTGTACTACGATAGTGATTATACCGACAACTTTCTACTAAATAAGGACGATTCAGGTGTCCGCATGCGAAGTGAATGTTACATTGTACGCTGTACCATTTGAGCTAAACAGCAGACTGTCAAAGAGCAGTGCGAGGTAGAATTAATCGACAGCTCCAAGCAAAGGAATACGCGATTATGACAGATCCGTTCCGAGCAAATCATTGCAACTTCGCGCTAGACATTTCTATATTACAGTATTTCCCTTTCATAAAAACACTCCACCTTTCATGTCTGCTTTCTACACAGCAGATCCTCAGAAATGATTAACTGTGTTCACTGCCTGTAAGTTGCAGGTTGCTGATTGATTCGTATTAGCACTGCCCTCTGCTGGCTCAAATAAAGAGTAGTTCTTTGGGCGAGTTGGTAATACACCCTATAGCATAATAACACAGTATGGCAAGTACGTTCTTTTCCCGCACCCTTGCCATTCAATACTATGCATGGCAACGCCATTCTCGGAGCTCATGCCCACTTTCTGTGGCGCAAGCACGCCAAATTTTTCATGCACGACACCAGCTTGAACAGCTCTGAGCTTGAACAACTACGGTTTTAAAATCTGTATAGCTTTCCTTCATAGCTTGATCCACGATACAAAGAGACGGATTAAAGTGTTTCGCATTTTATGAACTCTACCCCCTCTCGTGGTCGTAGCCGCATAACCGCCTTGTTTATGACAACGCTCACTTCATGTCATATAGCTCGTCCAGATGTCGCTTCCTCTCCGCCCACATAGCCTTCCAGCCGACGTCCTTCATCTGAAACCTGAGGTCGGGGCAACTGCCGCAGCGGACGCACTCGCTGCTCCTTGCACGACAGAGCTGGGCCTCCAAGTTGGCTACCTATAATAATGACCATGAAACGAATTGCACATTAACCAACACACAAAGAAAGATTTGGGGTGAAACTAGACATTTGTGTAAAGTTCTTCAATAATTCCACTACATTTAGAGTGAAAAGCTTCAAGAGAAAGCACAAAAGTCAAGCGAGACCGTGTGAATATCACTCCTTGAAAGGCCGCTAAACAACGTCTGAAAACACACACACACACACACACACACACACACGCACGCACGCATGCACACACACACACACACACACACACACACACACACCACACACACACACACACACACACACAAATGACTGCGTCATTCTCTTCTGATGTTTTCCGTCTTTTCCTCTTAATATCTAACGCCAGCGGTCTGTTCATGTGACGTCATGAAGAAATGAGCTCCAGATTGCTCCATATTTGACAGATGTATATTGTGGATTGTCTTCTACAATGCTTTATGCTTTGTCGTGACCTCGCATGCCCGCTCTGTCTTGTCTCGCATTGACAGCTAGTGGAGGTACAAGAGTGCAGCCCAAAAGTGCGAAAACCTTATAAACTCAAGGCTTCGTGCTGACATTGTCTACATCACTTATGAAAAAATAAGCAGCATAGAGGATATAGCATATGCAGGAAGGGTAGTGGAGGTGAGGAAAAAATACTCATCTTTAAACTAGGAGTGCTTCTCGGTGAGGAAGGGAGCTCCACTTACCCTCTCTTGTTCAATTCGTTTTTCCTTATACACTGACAATACTTCGTAAAGAGATGCACAATGACTGTCACACCTGACCGGCTCCTGTCATGAATACTTTTTGTATGATTGTAAAAATGTTCAACGATGTGTTCAGAAAAAAGTCACAGTTTCGCCAAAAGGGTGAAGCAATGAATGCTATAGCAACATGTTTGAGGGCCCCTTTAAGAGCGAAGCTCCTCATGGCATGGCTCATGAGTCCCCATTGTGGGTAACTGCCCTTCCTTAATTCTTGAACCGGCCATAGAGGGCAGTACTTGTACTATACGCTGAAAAATGCACATGATACGACACTAAAGGGTGTTACAAGTAGAGAAGAAGTAGAGTTACTGTATATGCTGCATTTAGGTAGCCGAGTTGCGCTAATGTATGCCATCTTGGGTTCAAAAGTCTTGCGGGAAAGCCACTCACCCCCACGTAGGAGCAGCGCTCGCGCTTCGGAGTAGTAGCGTTTCTTTATTTTTTCACTTTCTTTTTATTTTCTATGAATGTACAAGCCGGCCTCTCACAGACGCTGAAGGAGAAGGGGGCAGCACCGCCATTGAGACGCGACCAGCGCCACCATGGGACGCGCCCAGTATCTGTGAAAGACGCTCCGAGTGTCCGTGACAGACGCACTCGGTGTCTGTGCGAAGAGCGCCAGCGCGCTCATAACACTGGGAAGCATTGGCGTCGTCTGCGTAGTCTTGGCTTCTCCTTGGCTTCTCCGCAGTGCATTTAAACTACCTAAGACCACGTGACGGCACGCGACCAGGTGTGTTTAGAAAAAGTGGTTAACGATTTAGAGTACTGAGTACTCTAATATGGGAGATCTAAAAGCCGTCCCGTGGACCTCTTTAAGGACACTGGCCCGAACAGAAACGATTATATCGCGACCATTAGCATTCAACACCATACAACCACTCTTAAAGCTAATAAAACCATGCACTGGCTTATCTAGCCTAGTAATACTCAAAGCCTCCGCGCTGCATACAGTTATGCCGAAGAGTTTCTGCTGTGTATCCAGATGATTTAATTCATAACGTAAACAATAATAAATATTGCAAAGTAAAAATTATGTTTTCATTTCATACTTTAAGCAAAGAACAGCAAGATCCCGAAAAGGTACGGTGCCGTTTATATGTTCGCTACAAATCACTGACCAAGCAATCGGCTGCTTCAACCAAAACCACGGTGTGAGATACAAACAATTTAGGTGGGGACACTTTACGGCTTGCTTCGGATACGCGATCGACCAGATAAGTGGGGAGTTTTAGAATAAGGTTTAGAATAGCGGTGCGGTCGCTGCAACTTCGCATGAGTCGCAACGCGAGCCACTGTTCGCGCTTGCGGGCCGCCCGCAGGAAATCCAAAATAGCGTGCGGCCCGTCTGGCCAGCAAGGCCTGCAAAGCGCTAGTGTGGAGGCTATGTTGCAGCTGCAATCGTGTATTTGGGTTTGCGGGGAGTGTAAACGCTATACTAAAACTCCGATGGCGCCCACTACGCCCGCAACGCTCCGAACGTCTGCTAGAGCTCTCTAATACCGTTAGCAGGCATTGCGGGCGATGCAAGCATAGCGTTTGTGTAAGGGCACTATATGAGATTTCAAATAGCGTTTGCCCCCGCGAACTCTGCCGCACGCTCTCAGCACGCTCGCTCACCACTTTGCGGGCTTTGCGGGCCACACGCTATTTCAGATTTCACAAGCGCGAACGGCAGCTCGCGTTACGACGCATGCTCAGTGGCAGCGACCGCACCGCAAGAGCTTGCAATACGCTATTCCAGAACACTAACAAACGGCGCGCGTCAGTGGGACAGCTTCCGGCAGCGCATACCTATCCGCAAGCAAGCACAACTAGAAAAAAAAAATAATAAAAAACTCCCAAGCATTTCCCCGAGGGTGAACATGGTTAAGTTCGAATGCACGGGGTGATGCTATGAGGGGGAGTAAAGTTAAAATCCGTTGGCATTTGCCAGTGAGTTAACGTAAACTCCCCCGTGTGATCACATTGCGATTCCCATGAACCATTAGACCCTCTCGGGAAATCTTGGCGAGTTTACACGTATATGTGAAAATAAATTTGCACTATATTAATGTTTATGTCCGTGGTCCGCTTCGCCCACTTGCGCTCGGCATCACGGGCCCCTCGCCATGCTGCCTTGTCTTCAACCGACGCGACATCTTCAACGACGCGTGCAATGCTCGCATTCGATTGCGTTGTACTTGTTGGAGGTATCACAGTCGAGGTTGATGCCTGCGATGGATCCGTATCTATCACGCCTTGCCGATCTCGAGCAAGTCATGGCTGCGCGTGCAATCACGTGGTGTGTGACGTCGTTGCTACAGACGCTCCTCTCCGCTCCTCGCGCCGTTGCTAGGGGAGAGAGAAGGCGCACCGCGGACGGCGGATTCAGGGTCGCCTATAAACTGCATTCGCACTTAAAAAAGCTTTTCATATTACAGCCGGCGAGACCGGTGCCAAAGCTGGCATTCTACGAGCGTCGCATTTGTCACTCGCAATAAAATGGCCACATAGCAGTTTTAGTTGCTAGTGTGCCTTAGGCGCGTTCCTTGCACTGGCGCTTTACCATTCCCGTTTGCAGGAAGAACTTGTGATGTGGTAAGCAGCGATACAGAAAATCTGACTAAAGAAGGCGTCTACAAAACAAGTGAATGTTGGAAGAACATGCTTCATTAATGGTGTCCGATCAGGTTACCTACCGTACGTGCTAAGAAAGAAGCAATTTTATTCAATATTCGTTCTGATCCCGAATACCTCAACACATGGCTCAAATCAAAGTCATGAATGTAAAGATGAAGTTTCACGGCATGAACATTTGTTCTATGTTTATGCAATGCAATGACACGTTGCTATAACTAGTGGAGGAGGACAAAAACGGAAGGATAGGGAGGTTAGCCAATTCTCTGACTGGTGGGCTACCCTATGCTGGGGAAGAGAGTATGGGGAGTAAAAGATGATGGAGGAGAAAAGATAAAAAGAAAGGAAGACAGAAAAAACAGAACTTTAGATGGCAATACTTAAAGTGTTTTGAGACTAGTTGTCCAATAGCATAAATAGTGTTTTTTTCAGTTACAGGCGCAGTGAGAATTTCACTGTATTAAGTTGTGCATTCAATTTTTTTCTTTTTTTTTGAGCAAGGCCCAAGTGAAGTTGAATGCGCAAAAATTACTGTAAAGCGCTTCCCGTGCATGATAAGAAGGGAGGGTGAGATCAGCGAGATTATATACGCAGTGCCCCCCCCCCCCCCCCCCCCCGTAAACATGTCCTCCCAACTGTTAATCGTACAGTCGTGAGCTTTCCCCATATTAGAGGCGAAGCTCCTTCGGGTGTGGGTCTTTCCCTCCTCTATTTGTATGTAGTAAGTATGTAGCCACATCTAGTTTAATATTAGTTCACTAGATGGCGTTTGTGGTTTTCGTATATGACGTACGTTGAAAGAGGATAGATAGCGCTGTTACATTAAAACATTTACAACAAATTCATGGACTGAACGATAATAAGTGGGACGAAGCATCCATCCATCCATCCGTCCGTGCAATGCGTGCTCTTGTGTGATAGGAGCGAACGCGTGAACAGACCGACAGAATGACGGACGGATGAATGGACAGCGGACAGACGCTTCGCCCCTCTCATCATCATTCACACTGTGAATATGTCCCTTTTTATCATTGGAGTCGCGGATATAGAATTCAGTGAAACATCAAAAGGTAGCTGTGTGACGGATGCCAATACATTGGTCTATAAAAATATTTTATGAGAAATCGCGCGGTCTTGTTAAAATTCTGCTATGCTGATAAAAAAAAAGACGCATGTACCTCCCTCTCCGCTGTTAGCGCGAGCTCCAGATCCTGGTTGCCGATCCAAGTGCATCACCTACTATCAACGAATGTACGAAAACCAGTGCATATAAATAGAATAGAGAGCCATTACATACAAAATTTTGGAAGATATAAATTTTGGAATCATGTACGTATCTGTTATAAGAATTATTAGATTACAGGACGTGCAAGGACCACCTTAAAATACCGGCATGCATGGAAACCACACTTGTCGAGTGTCTCAAACAATCATCATGGAGAAAATTTAGTACACAAGTTTCACTGTTTGGCAGAAACAACGCCATGAATGTGTAATTAAACTAGCAATTCCCTGGAAGGATCCACGACTCATTACCTGCCCCCGGCTAACGAGCCTCCCATATACTGAGGGGGAGGGGACTGGTGATGGCGCCAATGGGAACCCGTTGACCATCTTTCAGGGGTTATGTTTGCACTACCGATTAGGCCGGAAATCCTTTCCAGATGCGCACAGAGAGCTAACAAGGAGACAGCAGATAGCCCTCCGACTCCTCCAAACTAGCTCCTTTCTGTCACCGGCCACTATGGTGCTGCATGACATTTCCCGTAAGTGCTCGGCATGCGATCAGCTCGCCACGTTCCCTCATTTGATGTGGCGGTGGCCCCGCTTGCACGTTTCAACAAGGAGGCATCACGTAAACGAGACAGACTTTCTAGAATGTATCGCAAGTCAACACCTTGCGAAACGACTCCGGGTGGTCCAGGGAGCCTGTGAAGCGATCCGGAACCTTTGGTCCTCGAACCCGTCGCGGGTGCAGCCCTCGGGGGGTTTTTAGGAACCTCCTACCCAGGACGCAAAGAAAGTTCATCTGTCTTGCGCGCGAAAGACCGGTTCTTATAGCAACGTTTCTTTCAATCTTCAAGTTGAGTCTAGTGACCTATAGGTACTTGATAGACGCGATCGGATAGACACGTGTCGCTGTTGCTTTATCTGGTCAATCACGTATCGCGAGTGTCGCCATCTAAAATGACCAAAACTGATAGTATATATCAAGTGGTAGCAAAGAAGGTATGAATAAATGAAACTTCCTAATCAAAATTCTGAGCGCCGCTGTTTAGGTGTTATGTTTAGGTGTTATGAGGCAAAAATATTGAGATACATGTATGTGAATGCATTTTTATACCACGCCGTGAGCAGTGTGACTGGCGCCGACCATTTTGTGCAGCCCGCTTGACATCAAATATCGCAGATGGAGTAGAGTGCGACTGCCATGCTAAGCGGGAGACCGTGGAAGGTAGTGCGTGGGTGGGGGGCATTACACAACAGCTGCCTAAGACAGGCCTCCGTTTATGCCGGGCTTTATTTCCATATATAATATAGGTGGATGACCCGGGAGAGTTTCGTACAAACACACACGAGAAAACTCTGGCGTTATTGTCTATGGAAGCTGCAATGCACGGCCCTTCAACAAACATGGGAATGATGAACAGTCCACGTATTTGTCTAATTTTTGTACTTTTGGCAACAGTTGGCTTCACGTGGCTTGGAGCTGCTTTGTTACGAAACAAAAATCGGCAAATGTGCAGCTATTACACTTCATTACCTTAACTATTTAGGCTTACCGTTTCAAAGCTGGTCATGAAAGTTAAGAGGGTTAGTTCTTTTGTTAAAAAAAAAACCGAGACACAGCAAGAAACGAAGCCAAAAGTGCGATTCGAGGCCCGCAAGTACGAAGACTAGGCAAATCTGTGTACTACTCATCGTTCCCATGGTCGCTAAGCGATCTCAGTGCCAGATTCCCCTCTAGTTAGTTTTAGGAAACAATATGGATGACTCCATCGCATACCTTAGTGATGGCGCCATCGGCGACCACACGACGGCACGCACTATTGTGGCGCCGCGGAACCTGACATCTCGCCTCTGTCGTTCCCTCATCCTCGTGCTCTCCTCGCTAATTTCGCCTTTCATCCTCGGCTGCATTACGCGTCCGCTCTCTTTCGTCCTCATTCGCTATGCCAGTTACGCCGACGACGTTGAACGCAGGAACGGGCGCCAAAAAGCTAACCTCTGAAAAGGACGACGCACGTTTAATGTGGAGCAATGCTAACTATGTTTTTTGGCTATCTGCACTTGTAGCAATGCACCATTAATTACACATTGCCACAGAAACAGCCACCGTTGGGGGGGGGTCTACGCACACCACTCTGTTCATCGCAGGTGTCACAAACCAAGCAAAACGTCGACAGGCACATTGTGCAACCGACACCAACCGTTCGAGCCCAGCATGAGCACGAGCCCCGTCAGATGGGCCAGCGTGCGAGACAGAAACATGAGGCGAAGTTAGAGGCCAGTGACACGTGATAATCGACTCCGCTTTTTCTCTCTTTCGTCCTCGTTCGTTCTATCTGTTTCGCCGATGTCGACACTGCTAAACGCTGCTCCAGAACACTAATCATGTATCACGGTTTCTATGTTGTGATCAAAACAGAATAAAAGTTATTCAGCCAGGTTACTCAGGAAATATCAATCAACCAACCTTCTCGTGGGCTTCCCTCAGCAGAGACTCTTGGCGCACCACTTCGGCCTCGCTCTCGGCTGTTATCTCAACGCTCTCCCGAAGGGCCTCTTCTAGGGCCTCGATGCGTTCTCGCTGCCTGGTAACTTCCTCCTGCACAACATCTCTCGACGGTCAGCATGCCTTCCTCCATGGCTCACTGGGCTCGGATCATGAACGGGCTGTTTCAACGGCCTTCCGCAGCCTCCGAAAACAGTACTCGAAACTCAAGTGTGACACAAAAATAGAACCAAGGCAACCAACAACGCAAAGCCCAACAAAACAACACAAAAATAGAACGTTGGTCATACGCAAGGCAAACAAAAATGTTTGAAACAACCAAGTGGTAAGCAACTTCTTTTCGTCCTTGACCTGCCGAATTTGACTTTAACTTGTCAAGATCTTTAGCCTGTGTCAACAAACACTTAAGAAACGAAATGCATTCTTCAGGTTAAAAGAGAGGCTTTAACAAGCCACCATTACCCTAATGTTGATGTCTAAATGTTAAGGGAGCTTTCCAAAATTAAAAAAAAAAACTATCGATTGATTAGCTCAGTTATTCTTTGGGGATCGTATAGTATGTCAGCTGCACACCGTAGTAAAAACACATGCTTATAGAACAAGCGAAAGTGAAATAACGCTGCGACGCGTTGACGACGAGAGATGTAAGTGTGTATATATGTATATGCATCATGTAAATGTCCTTCAGCGCCAGCGAGACGCATCTCCTCTCTCATTTCATTTTCTTAAGGCAGTTATAGTTAGCTTTTTCACTACGTCTTTGCGGTGACCGATTCGTCATGCAGTAGTTAACGCTTTGTAGGCAACTGCGACAGAATAGGTAGTGATAAAACAGAACTCGCGCATAGGTGTTAATGCTCGGTGTTCACCGTTAGATGAGACGCAAATCCAAAAGGCTCGCGATGACTGACATCTCTGAGCGTGCAACGTATTTTTTTTTTTTTGCCGAGCCCCAAAACTAACACCCCTGGCGGGAGCCTCAAACGTCAACACAGAATGTAAGCGTAACGAAAGAAATATTAGAAAAAACTCGAGAAAAAGCTGGCTGGACCAGGCGCCTGCAAAGAAAGATAATAAAGACGGCACAGATGACAACTGATCATCTCGCTAGTAGTGCACAAGCACAAGAAACATGGTCATATAAAAGACCCTTAAGCAGTGATTTATAAAGTGATACCATTCATCGAAGCATTCAATAAACAAAATTTACATTTTTGGGGATTGCCGTGGATTCACGAAAAGTGATTTTCTGCTGAAGTAAATTTTCTGCTTTATACATGACTTGATTCATTTAATACTTTTTCGTCTGTGCATAGAGGATCGCACGACTATGACATGTCCGGGAATGAACAAGTGATAAAGATTTGACGTGAAAAAGATTTGCAGATCTGGCAGATGTCACCCCTTTATGTTCTTTAAAAGTTGATTTGTGAGGTTTAACGTCCCAAAACCATGATATTATTAGAGACACCGTAGTGGAGGGCTCCAGAAATTTCCACCATTTGGTGTTCTTTACCGTGCACCCAAATCTGAGCACACGGGCCTACAACATTTCTTCCTCCATCGGAAATGCAGCCACCGCAGCCGGGATTCGATCCCGCGACCTGCTGGTCAGCAGCCGAGTGCCTTAGCCACTACAACACCACGGCGGGGCGTTCTCGAAGAGTTACTAGCTTTCTTAATTGATGTCATGACAATTATTTCCTGTTCATATACTTGGTCATGCTTTGTTTATCCCTCGACGCATCATTTCTTGCGCACGTCTTACTTGAATATTGACGCAAACACAACACAACCATACCACTCATTGTAGTTTTTGTTTTCGCTAATGGTGACAGTACAATATATTGATGTGAATTAACAGAGAACGTAACTTGCATTTTCGAACCACGAAGAAGCTCCACAAGCCTTAAGTACATCAAGTTGGCTTCTTCTTATTCTCGTTAGTCATGCAGAGAGAAACCTTTAAACGACAAAGTATCGATAGTTTTTGAACTGGATATTCTAAGGTGTCAGATGTTGTTTATTTATGAAGAAATTCACGCATAGTTAGGAGCCTCGCAGGCAATCTGGCTACATCGATAGAAGGAGGCCTTCTGGCTACACCAGTGGTGCCTTCTTAAGTTTCTTGTTTCTGATATCCTTGCTCAAAAGCAATAACAAACATTTATAAAATTTAACTCTAAAATTGAGACTGTCGTAGACAGCTATAGCGAAGAAATACAGAAGCAGTCACGCTCACTTGAGCTTTGGAAGCTTCTCGACCGAGGTCTCCCTCTCGTCGGCGAGCTTCGTCCATCATCTGGGCGCTCCGCGTCTTGTCCGTCTGCTGGCTGCGCTTGATCGCGTTCAGCTTGCTCTCACGGTCCTTCAGAGCCCTGTGCATGGCACACGCAATGCCCGGGGCAGAAGTTATAACTAGGGCAACAATAGACAAGCCACAATGACCCACATAAAAAGCCAGCGGGAAACACGAAAACTGAAGAGAAAACGACGGGCTGGCACTTGCAACTGACCAAAGCATCCTTGAAACGAAGACGTACCCGCCGGCAACCATCTTGCACATGCGTGAAGCAACCGTGCGTACCACAAAACAATATCTTCATGATATATCACGGCGTCAAGAAAGGTCATCTCTGTAGCGGACAGGTGCGCTGACATGTCGCTGACGCAATCGCCCACCCCCCTTTGTTAATGTCAGGGACACGTCATTGAACTTGTCCTGTCCATTAAGGAGATGCCATTTCTAGACACTGTGATATCTTGTTGATATTGTGTTTTATACGACGCATGGCTGCTTCACGCATGTGCAAGGTGGTTGCCGACAGATATACGGATTATTTTTAGGCATGCTTTCATCAGTTGTAAGTTCCAGCCTATCCCGTTGTGCTCCTCCTCTTCAGTGTTTCCCTCTGGATTTTCTTGTGTATCGACATATACCGACTAGCCGAGTCCATCGTCTTGGAAGCCATGAGCAGCATAAGCACCAATGTACCCTCAGTGAGCAATCGAAGTTGTCTTAACAAAAGCTACGGTGCCTCAGACAGGCTGGTCGATGTTTTGATGAATGTTCATGGCGAAATAGTCTTAGAGGGCTAGCTCTCGACATCACGTGGTATCGTTGTCAGTACCAGATTTCCGTTGGCTTTCATCTTTAAAATACGGAGTGCTTGAGAATCCCATCTCCCGAATAATACGCTCAAAAATTTAGATCCCATCCCAAAAATGGGCCGCTGGTAGTACAGAAAAAAACGGAAACATGTCATGTTTAGGCTACGTGGTTCACAAAATAAGCAAATAAGTGTTAACTGCACGAAGAAGGAAGCACGGCAGAATGCAGAAACGTGCAATGGCACGAATCTCAGACTTTAACCGAGTTTATTTCCTAAAAGCAGAACATTTGTACCTTCCTCCTCATTTCTTAAAAAAGTTCCAGCATCAGTAAATAAATGAACATAGTTGGAAATCTTCACTTCGCGCGTGTACGTGCTGCTATGTTTTCGCATCAAGTCTTCGCGCAGCTGAATCTGTCAAAGCGGGCGCTCGCACGAGCACGGACACGATGGAAGTTATCGATAACCTTGCGCCTAAACAATGAAATGCCCTCCGCATTGCGGTACACGCTGAAGCAGGGCGCACTCACTCTTGCAGCTGCTTGATCTGTGCGTTGAGATTGACCTTCTCTTCCTCGAGGGAAGACATGATCTGGAGCAGTCGCTCCAGTTCAGCCTCGTTCGCTCCTCCCGTCGGTGGAGGCGGTGGCTGCCTCGTTTCCAGCTCGGCGCAACGCATCTTCAACTCGGCCAACTGCCGGACCAGTTCTTGCTCTGTCTCTGTGCTTCCCGCCTGCCGATGTGAAAAAAAAACGTGTATAGTGAAATGTCGCACGGTTAGATGAGACTGCTATCGTTTTAATCCGAATAACATATTGTATTTTCCGGTGTATAAAGCGCACCTTTGTATAAGACGCATCCCCCAGTTTTCGCAAGTTTTCATGCAAAAATTAATATATAAGACGCACCGGTGTATAAGACGCACCTACATTCACTCACTTTCCGCAAAAAAACTTCATAACGTGCAGTTGAGCGAGCATTGTAAAATGCCGTACTTACGTTTCTGAGCGCCAGTCCGTAAGAAAACTTATACTACACCGAACTTGTGAGAAAAGTAATGCGCACCCACTGAAACGTTCCGCACGACTGCAGGAAAACATTTTATTCCTCAAAGTCCTCGTCCTCCGACGCGCTTTGGAATAGTTCAGCGAGCTCTGGCGGCAGTGACGCTGGGACTTCCTCCGTTTCCTCTTCGGAATCGCTGCTGCTGCTGTCGTCATCGTCGAGGCCAGGGGCTGAGGATGCTAGCAGGCCTGCCTTGCGGAACCCCGCAGTTACGGTGGCCTGTGACACCGCACACCAGGCTTCGCGCACCCACTTTGCGACCTCGCAAAACGAAGCACGCCTCATGCGTCCAGTTGCGGTATAGCTATGCTCGCCGTCGGACATTCATGACTCCCACAGGCGCCGCAGAATAGCCTTGAAACTGCGGTTCACCGAGATGTCCAACGGCTGAAGCATTTTTGTCATCCCGCCTGGGATAACCGCAGCGGTGCAGTTTTTTGCCTTGATGCGCTTCAAAGTGAGCTCCGTTATATGCGCCCGCATGCTATCCAATACCAGGAGGCCCTTCTTCGCATGAAAGAAACCGTCCGGTCGCTTAGAAAAGCATTTTTCAAGCCACTTGCCCATCATCTCTTCATCCATCCAGCCTTTCACGTTCGTTTCTATGACGACACCAGGCGGGAAAGACTCTTTCGGCATCGTCTTCCGCTTGAATATAATCATTGGCGGAAGTTTTTGCCCGTCGGCACAACATGCCAGCACAACCGTGAAATGCGCTTTTTCGTGGCCGGTAGTTTTGATGGTGACAGACTTGTCACCTTTTGGTGCCACACTCCTTTCCATTGGGATGTCAAACGTAAGTGGCACCTCGTCCATGTTTATTATATGGCTTTTGCCGATGCCATCGTCTTCAATGGCTTTCTTAACGAAAGCCTGGAATCTTTCAAGCTTGTCCTTGAAATCTGCTGGCAGATTCTGGCACATGCTTGTGCGGGCCCTCATCGCCAGCGCTTTGCGGCGCATAAATCTGGAGCACCAGGACGACCCGCCAACAAAATCAACGGCGCCCACCTCCTTAGCTAGCGCCTGCGCTTTGAGACGCAGTTGCACCGTTGACATCGCCCTACCTTGGGCACGCTGCTCCAGTATCCATGAGTGCAGACGTCCCTCAAGGTCTGGCCATCGTGCTTTCTTGCCGCGGTCAGCTTTCTTGTCACTCTTCAGGGCCTGAAGCTTAGCAGTCGACTGTCGCCATGTGAGGACCATCTTCTCCGTGACGTCGAAATGACGGCCCGCTGCCCGGTTTCCGTAGTCCTCTGCATACTTCGCAGCAGCAAGCTTAAACTTCGCCGTGTAACTTTTCCGTTTAGCCGGCATACTGCAGGTGAAGGTAACAAAGACGCGGACCAACCGAACGAATGAAGTTGCAAATGGCGACTAGTCCAACTCGCTGAATGACAGCGTAGCGGTGGTAGCGGCAGTAGCGGCCGAATCCGAACCAAACCGCCGAACCCGTCGCGCACCTATCTTACGCATCTTACTGCTTTTTTTTTTTTGATCGCGTTCGAGTGGCACCTCGTCCATATAATAAACATGGACGAGGTGCCACTTACGTTTGACATCCCAATGGAAAGGAGTGTGGCACCAAAAGGTGACAAGTCTGTCACCATCAAAACTACCGGCCACGAAAAAGCGCATTTCACGGTTGTGCTGGCATGTTGTGCCGACGGGCAAAAACTTCCGCCAATGATTATATTCAAGCGGAAGACGATGCCGAAAGAGTCTTTCCCGCCTGGTGTCGTCATAGAAACGAACGTGAAAGGCTGGATGGATGAAGAGATGATGGGCAAGTGGCTTGAAAAATGCTTTTCTAAGCGACCGGACGGTTTCTTTCATGCGAAGAAAAAGCATCTGCCATCTTACGCCGATTTCACTCACTGAGTACAGCTCTCTATGGTACAGCCTCCGAAACTCGCTCAGCTTCAGTGAGCTGAGAACTCGCACGACGACATACTTTTTAAAATTTTTCCGTTTTATGTACTTTGGTTTTGTTTTAAAACTGTAGTACCGGCACGTTGAGTGTTCGTTATTATAATTATGATGCATAATTCGCATTGGACTGCTCTAGTGGTTTAAAAAAAAAGACTAATGAGCATCAACACGAGTTTCTCCCCAAAAACTACCAAAAAAAGTGCGTATAAGACGCACCGTTGTATAAGACGCACCTCCGAAAATTTTGGAAAAAAACCGCGTCTTATACACCGGAAAATACGGTACATGTATATAAGAAAGAGGACGACACATGTGCAGCACAAGGAAAGCATTGTACGCTTTCTCACTCTCTTTCATTTCAGTTCATTATGCACGTTCACGCATAACAGCGTTCGAGTAAGTCATACAAGCACCCGTGTCCAGTTAAACGAAGCCTGAATTCCGGAACTGGACACCTTTGACGTGCCCTACCAATATCTGACCTTCCACCAACAAAGTCAGTGTGCGGATGTAGGCCCAGGGTAACGCGTGCAGCAGGGTGCCTAGCGATAACGAGCACAGTCTCAACTGAAAAAGATTATCACAAGTGAACAGTGGCCGGAGCCTAACAATTGCGACCCACGGCACTGTTGTTCATGAGCGCGCATATAGCTAGGTTTTCAAGCACCTTTCAAAGCAGGGGTGGCCGGCGGTCTGGAGGAAAGCATGCCGATGTTGCTGTTAGCTCATCCGAAAGCCCATATTCTAAAGAAATGCTTGCTCATTGCTTCTCGCAAGATTTCGCTATTCACACGCTCTCCCTTTTGTTTCTGTTTTTCTTTCTTGTTCACTGAAGGTGGGAGGAACTGTATTCTTATCACCATTGCCCTGAAAACACTGCTTGTGCACTGCTTTCCGCCACCCCTCCCCCCTGCTCTGTAAGATGGAATGTGCTAGGCACTCTTGATATCAGCATGCTCGGAAAATAAGAATTCACAGCTTTGCCGCAAAGGCGAAGCAATAAACATAATAGTAACAAGTTGGAAGAGTCACGCGCAGAAGGGCAAGCACACCGAAACGTGCCCCGCGTTTCTTACGCACAAATAACAGACGAAACGTACTCCCAGGTACCGGTGAACGCGAATAAGCATCTCAGTTTTTACTTCGCTGTGTCTGAAAGGCGCATCCTTTTCGCAAACGATGACTTTGCAACAATAGCAGCGACATTTCTGCGCCTGGTAACTACAACTGAATCATTCAGGTGCCTTAAGGACAGCCAAGACATAAGATGCTCTCAACCGCGAGATAAGTGCGCACGAGTGTGCCTTCAGGGGCTCTACGACGACCCACTCGCCTCCGCGAGGCGAAGTACGCGTCGGAGATGAGGGCGTGCGCCACCTTGCTGGTAATGCTAAAAGCATGAAAGTCCCCCCCTCCCCCCGGGATGCCTATCACCAGTGGTAAGTGGTGGCTATAAATACCTTGTTATTTGCACGTTGAAGGAGGTTCTCCTCGGTGGCTCAGTGGTTAATGCCTCGCACTCGCGATGCAGAGGGTCAAAGTTCGATTCCGTACGCCAGAGGGTTTTTTCTAAATCTTTTTTCTTTCTTGCGTTTTCACACACACACACACACACACACACACACACACACACACATATGTGTGTGTGTGTGTGTGTGTGTGTGTGCCGCTCCGGCAACCCGTCACTTGTGCCAATTGTATTCTGTCAAGACAGCACACACTGAATTCTCTTGTAAAGAGTTAAAGAGTTGCTCATCTTGCTAAGTCTTGTCAGTGCACTATAGCGCTACTCTCCTTACTCAATCGCAGAACTTCTGCGTCACGTCCGGTGTTGTGTCGGCGAGCGGCGTTCGACGGCGAGGGCCCGACGACTGAAGGCGAGACGCAACGTGCGCCGGCACGCGCCCCCGACACACGCAGTAGAAGATGGGTTGACCGGAGCCCGCGGGAACCCAACAAAGACTGAGCCGGCCAGCGGCCGTTTATTGAACGACACACAACGGACACGCGGACACACGGGATTGGCTGCATGCAATCACGTGTGTGCCGTTACAGACGACATCTGTTGAACAGAGTACACACTAGGGTGCACTCAGTGCGCGTGCCACTCACAGGTGGCGCCACGACACAACATCATCACCCCCCCCCCCCCCCCCCCCGTCAACAAACTGAGCATTATCACAGGGTAACACTAGAGAAAGTCCCAGGATCTCCACTAAGGAATGTTCACGCCACATGAGCGGCAGGGAGAAGAACAGTTCGCGCACAGGCACAAGTGGCCTAATACAACAGATACGTCACACATCTTGTGAAACGAAATACACTGCAAAAAAAAAAAACACAGTACTGAAAATCCCCTGCGATGTCGTGGCTGGGCCCACTAGCTCTCTTTTGACCTTAAGTGACAAAATCTTTGAGCCAGTTAGGTCGTTTTGTCTAACGGCTCGGACGCATAGAAGTCTCAGTAGAACTTGTTGAAGTGCGACCAGGTTCGGTCGTCTTTGAAAACCTTGTAGTCCTTTCACTTTCCCCCTCCCCAGAGTTGAGATTTAGTGGATTATTTGAAAAAGGTACCCACACCGGGTCCTGCTGACTTCCCAACGTTCCTTGGGGAACAACTGATTCAGACCCTTCCGTATAAGAGATCTCTGACGAATCAGAGTCTGGCTGAAAACTGGGGGTGGAGCCCTGCAACGTAGGTGCACCAGGGGACTGACTGCCACAAAGATCTAAACT